TCTGACCCATTTTATTGAGTATTAGGAGGCTAACAATGAGTTTCACGATATTTGCTTCATATATTCTAATTCTCTTTCTTATTCTTATTTTTTCTATTTAAAAACTTATTAAATTATATCTATAATCCACTCTTATTAATTTCAATATGCGAGTCTAATATATTATGATACTTTTGAAATATGCATTGATATGACATTGTAAAAATGAGCTTTACATTAATACCAAATGGGCACACATAATTACAAAGTGTATATTGATATGAAAATCATAAGGTTTTGTTAGTTGAACATCACGCCACTTTAATTGAGCATCAAACATCCGCTATTGAGATGAAAACCAAAATTTCTTGTGAATGAGCATTAATGAACTTTTAATGAGCATCCGGTCTATTACGTTGAGTATTAGGTGTTTAATATATGACCATAAGATCGGTATCAGATGAACATACGTAACTAACAAAATGAGCACTAATGAATTTGTCAGTTGGTTTGTTAGTTGAAAATCACGATATTTTCATTGAGCATCAAACCTCTTCTATTGAGATGGAAATAATGGTTTCTGTTAAATGAACATTAATACACTTTCAATGAACATGATACTTATTCTGTTGAGTGTTAGTTAGTTGCATAAGCATTGATATGACATTTTAAAATGAGCATAACAGCAGTCCCGAATGAGTATACATATATTATAAAATGAGCATTGAAAAATCCAAAAACTCATTAAAATCTCTTATGCGCTCAAATATTCATTTTCGTAACAAAGAGAAATATAATAAATTATAGTATCGAAATAATTTATAATTTGTTATTCTTCAATTACAAAACTAATCATAATATTGGTACTGACGAAATGAGCAACGAAAAGATTCAAAAAACTCATTTGAAAGTTACAGTATGCTCGAATTTTCATTTGTGTACCTCATTTGAATTCTCTAGTGTGCTCAAATTTTCATTTGTGTATGCTCATTTGATTTTTCTAACGTGCTCAAATATTCATTTATGTATGTTCATTTCTTTTAACTGTTATACACATTTATTATACTCAGTTACTCACTATGCTCAATTTCAATATATAACATAAAACTTATATTAGTAATTGATAAGCTCAAAATTTTAACACACAATACTAACATATAATATTAAAATACACATATTAAATTTTAACATATACGGTACTATTAATATCTTGGAATTGAGAACTAAAATAGTCCGTTCAATACTTTGCGTTGGGGATAGAAGGCCACAACCACACAACGCTGAATCCACAACCTAATTCTCCTTCGTCCGAACACCCAACGAGCAACAGTGGAAGAAAATCCCAGAACTTCAGCGAGCGAGCAGATCGACACCTCCTTCAGACCTAAGCGAGTGAGCAGATCGACGCCTCCTTCATCAGACCTCATCGAGCGAGCAGATCGACGCCTCCTTCATCAGGCCTCACCGATCGGGGAAGAACAGAACTAAATACCATTTACCATGGGAATTGTAATTAATTACAAAAATACCCGGTTGTATGGTGAGCACCGTACAACCGGGTGTATGGTATAATTTACCGAGACAACGGGTCCGTTTGGATAAGCAGCGGGAGCATCAATCCGCTGATTCTTTAATACATGAAAACGCTGCTAAAAGCAGCGGGATGGTGCCGATCGGCTGAAAACCAAACAGTACCAACGTATTAATTGGTTTAAGGGGATGATGGGTAAGATAGGTATTTAGAAAAAAACTATTTACCGTGCCTAATTGAGAAGTTAATGAGAATTCTAGAATAGTGCGGAGATGTCTAGAATTCTCTAGATGTGTGTAGAGAAGTATTGAATGTTCTAGAATATTCCGAAGCTTTCTAGAGAGACATGGAATTATCTAGAAACGTGTGGAAGAGTGTAGAATATTCTAGAACATTGTGGAGCTTTCTAGAGAAGTGTGGAATTCTCTAGAATTGTGCAGAAGTGTGTACAAGCCTCTAGAACATTCTGGAGCAGTGTGGAGTTCTCTAGATCCTTCTAGAAGAATAGAGAAGTCTGTGGACAATTCTTGGAAGAATCTAGAAGTATAGTGTTGTATAGAAAATTCTAGAGAAACTTTGAGGAGAGTATAGTATAGTATAAATAAGGGTGAGACTCCTCATTCTTGAGGAGACCTTATGAGAGAGCTTAGTGAGAGAGCCATGTGAGGGCCTAGAGAGAGAGCATCCTCAAGTGATGAGAGAGAGAGCCTTGAGGAGAGCTCTTGAGTGAGTGAGTGCTTCCTTGAGAGAGGTGTGTGTGAGTGAAGTAGTCTCATATACAAAGAGTGATGTGAGCTACCTGTTTACTTGTAAACTATCTCTTGTACATTTCAATTGTATAATACAAAGTGATATTGTTAGATTGAATCTTTGTGTTATGAGTGGGTGAGTATGTGTACAAGAGTCCTTTGAGCTGGTGATCCTAGAAGAGGTCGGGGGTCATGTTTTCCCCAACACTTTAATACATGAAAACGTTGCTAAAAGCAGCGGGATGGTGCCGATCGGCTGAAAACCAAACAGTACCAACGTATTAATTGGTTTAAGGGGATGATGGGTAAGATAGGTATTTAGAAAAAAAACTATTTACCGTGCCTAGTAGGTGTGTGGGGCATTTCCAATTCGCCTTGCGCCTAGGTCCGCCTTTGTGGCGCCTTTGGCTGCCTTTTAGAACACTCGGTTTAAGTTGACAATAATAAGACCAACTTTTATTCTAGGCAAAAAAAAAAAGATTAAAACTAAATAAAAGCCCCGGATGCCTAGTCCTACCTTCTCGCCATAGTCAATTGTTCTCCGACATCATCCTTGCCATTGCCTCGTCCGGAACTGGTCTGTGGCGGCTAGGGTTTGTCATGACGTCGATGCAATGACTAGGGTCTCAATGGGGAGCAACGCAGTGGCTATTGGGGACACTTGCTATGAGTGGTAGGTGTTATTGAAGGAATTGGAGGGAAGATACATTGAACTAGAGGGCCGTGACAAGGGTTACAAATAGTGGACGACGAAGACATATTGGGCTCAATGTGATGTCCCTAATTGTGGTTACCTTCTATGGTCGGTGGCGGCGCTACTTAGGTACAACTCTGGTCATTAACCGAGACAGTGTTGGTCATCGGGGGTGGCGTTGATGAGTGGCGAAAGCGACAGTTGTAATTGGACAGACAATGACAGTCACTAGAGGGATATCATAGATCACTGATGGGACAACATTGGTCATTGGCAGGGGCGACAATGTCACTGTTGGGGCGGCGGTGTCACTGTTGAGGCGGCGGTGTCACTATCGAGGCGGCAGTGTCACTGAGGTAGGAGTGGGGTGTCACTTTGAAACTGGAGGTCACCCGGATTTCCACTCGTTACTGGAAGCCGATCAGTGCAAGTGGCTTGAGTATACTTGTCATTTATTCAGTTTTTTGGGAGTCATATTTTTGTCCACAAATTATTCTTTAGTATTCTTTATGTAAGAAAAGTAAAGACAACATTTTAAATCTAAAAATCATACCATAATCAAATTACGTTGAATCAGAAAACTAAATTGAATCTAAAAATCTAATTGGGCAAATGTTCAAGCATGTTTATGGAGCACGCTACCGTGCTCACTAAGGAGCACGATGATGTGATGAATGGTCGGAGTTCTCTAAGTATTTTATATGAATGAGTTTTAGCCATTCATCACGTCAACGTTCTCCTTAGTGATCATGCTAGCATGCTCTCTTTATTTTCTCGATCGGTGTCTGTTTGCCTTTTTGAAACCAAATGTAACAAAAAAATGGAATTGTTGATATCCTCATTAGTTCATGAAAGTTGATTAGGTTGTGCCATTGTGGTGATTATTGTTTAATTGGATACTTCCTCCGTTCTTTTTTAATTGCAACGGTCCACTTTTCACGCTTGCCAACGCACAAGTTTGACTGTTAATATCTTTCATTCCTTATTAGTAAAAAATTAAAAAAAATCAGATTTTGAAAATTAATTATGACAGGAACTTAAAAATATATTTTAAAAATTTAATTCATAATACATTAATAAATAAAATATAGTCAAAGTAGAGTGTGTGAATAGTGTAAAAAGTCGTACGTTGCAATTAAAAGAGAACGGAGGTAGTATTAAACTTTCACTTTGTTACTGTAACATGTTTTTCTAAGTCGATTGTTTCCCTTTTAAATTATTGCTATTCGAAATATGAAGTCAAAATTGGATCAATATATCCCCAATTTCAAGTACAAATGACAACTCAAATCATGCTAAAATTTACCTCACTTTTGTGTTCAGAATAGGTCATTCAAATCACATGTAATCTTTCTGGCGTTTAATCATCTAAAACATATATATTGAGAAGGTAAAGGTGTTCCTACTATTCTGAAGCATGCAAGAAAACATGTATATTGAGAAGGTAAAGGTGTTTTATTCTACTATACTAAAGTATGCAAGTTTTTGCTTTCTTCCGAATAGACCAATTGTGACTTATGAGTAGGCTGTGCAGGTTCTTCTTTGTGTACACAAAATGTGTATATAAATTGTCCATGTTTATAATTAATTAATTAATTAATACTTTGTAATTAATCTATATAGTCCAACCAGCCTCAGCAAGCAGCAACCACTAACAATACTACTGCTACCACCAATACTGCCGCTAGCACCCCGCCACCGCTAACACATCTCCGATGCTACTAATAACCATGAAATGACAAATTTAAATCTCTTAAGAGGAATTACATAATTGATTAGCTCATTAGTAATTCTTCTGATAATTACAAACTTTATTGAAACTCATATTCGATTAGGTGAATGAAAAATTGATAATGTACATGAGTTATACATAAAAAATACACAAAATCCTCTTAGTTATATGTTTATGCAAACAATTCGTTTGAAAAGGGACATGATTTAATGTCAAAATCCCCTTAAGTAGAATATGTAAGTGAAATAGAATGTAAAATCAAAATTTTAAAAAAGTGAAGTTCAATGTCAAATTTCCCTTCAAATAAACTTAGTGGCTGTAACCATTGGTTTCGCAGATCACACCACATCTCTCTTCCTCTCCAAATTACCACTGCTTAGCCACCGCCCGACGCCACGCCACGCCACGCCACGCCCAGTCAAGAAAATCCTAATTCAACTCGGCAGGCGAGGAGAAGGTAGTCATGGGTGAAGAATTTAAACTGAACCACCGCGGCGGAACTGATACGATCCCTACTATAAACCGCCCCATCAGCGGCGGCGATGAAAACAACGGCGAAAACCTAGCCAAAGACGGTGAGTTTGAAGGACCGGCTTCGTCTTCCGCCACGTCATCATTTCCATCTCCATATTCCAAGAACAAAGGGAAGTCCTGCAAAGGATGTTTATATTATTCTTCGACCTTCCAGTCCAAGTCTCGGAATCCCCTCTGCGTTGGTATCACTCGTTCTTTACCCCAAGGTTACTCTTTTTCCTGAATTTCGTACTATCACGCATTTCAAGTTAATCTTTTTAGTAATTCATGCTAATTTTACCATTTTGAGCCCTGTAGATAATCTACAAACTTTTGTTTTTCTGCATCAGAAAAAAAAAGGGGGATCTTGATTATTCTTGAATGTAAAGAGAAAGTGGTTATAATTGGTTTTCAATGCTTTAATGCCAAAATCTGTTTCTGAGGTCTGGGAATTTGATATCTCATCAAGTCATCATTTCTGTTATTTAAAATTTGCTTTCTTTACGATTGACAATAATCCATTTTTGTAATTGGATGAACGCGTTGTTAGAAATTAGAATGATTCAATTGTAAAGGGCACCAATTTCGATACTCAAGATAGACTAGTTCATGAAGTTTGCACGTTGAACCATTTTTTTAATTATTTATCCTTATAATAATACGGATTGATATGCACACATTCTGTCCCTAAATTAGACCAGCCTTTCTATTTGTACTCTTCCTTATATCCACCCTTATACCCACCAATGTAAGAGACTTTTTTTGTCAAAAACAAGACATGTTTTGTCTGCTAAAAACGGGATTCACAAAAACCCTCTCACATTGGTGGGTATAAAAGTCGTGTGTATCAGGGTGGGTACAAATAGTATTTTTCAATTAGATTCCAGTTTACCTTGGCAAGATTATCAAGAAAAGGAATTTCTGTGGCTTGAGATTTATTTAGACATGGAAGAAGAGTATGAACAACACAATTCTTTTCTTAAAAGATCAGAATAATATTATTTTGAGATGGACGAAATATGTCATGTGAGTGTGTCTCATATAAAAGTATATTGGAAGTTATCATATTATTATTAGTAATTACTGTAGTATTTAGTAGTACTTGATTTAGGTTCCTAGTCGTAATAGCCTTAAAATTTTATGCTTTTTTATTGTGATTACTGATTAGGGTTCTTGAAGTAACTATACACTAATACAAGCATAATCACTATTGAGGAATAAACTTCCTGAGGAACCGTGTGTCAGGTGTGTGTCATGGACTCATGATTAGGTCGGGCACTGGTTGACTTTGTCTTAGGCATTTGTTTGGAACTCTCTCTCTCTCTCTCTCTGACTCTCTCTCATACAATAGATACTAAAATAGTATAATCTCTTTTGTTCCTGTCTTAGACTTTGAATGAGATTCCAACCATGCTCATAACCATATGAAACTGAGACTCCAATTTGGGGACAGAGGGAGTATTAAGACAAACAAATTTATTTATTTCTCTGTTACTCTGTTTATTTCTAAACCATTTCTTGTTATTATTTCTCCCCGTCTGAGGGAGCAGTCCCTCGATATATAGTTGGGCAATCAGAGGAGGAGGCTTCTAAAGCGGGTAGAAGCCTCACAGATTTCAGGTATGCTTGTGTCGGTTATTCTGTTTACCCAGATAACAAATCTCACCCAACTGACGGACAACAAACACAGACGGAACTGCCAGCTTGTGTTGGTCTTGAGGTTAGGCATTTCTTTCTCCTCTTCAAAGTTCAAACTCATTGTTTTGCTGACATTAATAAAGCCTTGGCACAGATTCTACTAGATAAAAGGATTGTCCCAGCTAACCATCATAATCGTGCTCCTGCACAGGCCCATAATCGGGAAGGTAAAATCTTATGTTATCTGCTAAAGGGTTTCCCAGTCTAATTGGATAGTTTTTAGCAACCTAAAGTTTAATGAAAAATGTACCACCATCAATTCGCTGAATATTTTAGTTTGTATGGGTTTGTAATGGATGATGATGTGGCACTTGCTGCTCCCTGGGCAGGCTCTGTATTGGGATATATGTGGAAGTGTGCTATTGAATTCAGCATTTATATTTTAGGTTATAGAGTGATGTTAAAGCTTCAACCATCGTGGGTATTTAATATTTATATTCATTCTCCTATTCCAATATGAGCAAACTATTTGTGCCCTAGATATTATTAATTGGTCTTTACTGAAGCAACATGAACTGCATTTATTCATCTTTATCTGGATGACCGGATCATTATGAGTTTGTCTAGACAGTCAAAATGGAATCTTGATTTTTCCTTCGAATGGCATGCTGAATCTGAACCAATAGGGGAACCCTGCTTACTCTAAAGTAAATACTAAATACGAACCTAATAATTTAAGTCCATTGGAAATGCCTGCTTCTATTAGTGTATGCATGTATGCAAGTATGCATGATGATCATTTTTTTTGTGCACTTGAGTCTAGTTTGTTAAGCCATATTGAAATGCATTATAATGTAATCAAATGCATGTAGTAATGTAAACAATACTTTTTCTTCGGGATGGGGCTTCAAATGTAGTGTCATACTTGTAAAAGTCAATATGCCCTTTTACCCATCTGTGGTACGCTTCCTTTAAATCCTTGCAATCTAATCTCCAACCTTTATTTTTAAATTTCAAGTGCATCCTTTTTAATTTTGTCATCCAAATATCCCCTGGGAATAAGGGATAGGATTGGTTCACTCCACAATCCACCTCACCAAGGTCAACTTGGGTAAACAATTTTCAGATCTTTGCAACTAGATCCTTCAGCATTACTTTTAAATTTCAGTTGTGCCATCTAATTAAAAGAAAAAGGTAAGGATTCAATTGCAAGGATTTGGCATTAATAATGATATCATTCGTGGCACAACTTAATAGTGAGTATCGTCTCTTGAAGATGTTGGAGTGCCTCAACCTCGCCCTCATAAACCGGCTTACCCAGCTGGGGATGAATTCCTAACCAGGCAAGCCATGTTTCTTGAAATCTCATGGATGTAGTTTTCATATTACTATGTATGCACCTACTATGAGTAGAGAATGATTACACTGGCCTGTTTTTTGTTTGTAAACATATTCAGGTTCTCTAGGAATGCTAACCTGGTTGCCAATGGAGTAGTCAAGAACTTGAGGAAGGTGGGTAACAGAATAAAACACAGCTTTGATGACATCCTTAATCGGCGGCCAAAATAAGATGCCTGTCGCTGGTCATTCCAAACGGGGAGATGTGGGACTCAATAATGTACTCTTTTCTTTCCCTACAAACGTTATGTAATTGTGTTTCAATTTATCCCATCGTCTTTACAGCAGTAGTATCAGTCGGGATATTTTGTAGGTTGGAAGGAAATGTTTTGTTTTTGTTATCTTATTTTGGCATGTAACCCAATGGTGACAGGTAACGATAAATAATTTCTTAAAACCAAACTATTGGTATGTGAATTGTATCATGTGACCCAGAGCCTGTTTTTGGGTGACTATTTTCATGTCTCGTCAGGTCACATTTGTTCAAATCTAGCAAGATATTATTTGAATTTTATTGTTATTGATATTTTTTAATTATGGGGCAAAAAAATTATTTATATTGTAGTTATTCAAATACGCAACTTTCAGCCTTCTTTTCAGTTATTTTAAAATTCATAATTAAAAATCAAACATATATCCCACCTAGAAAAAGACTGCTATATTGAAAATAGTCTTCTAAAAAACTAGCTTCAAAAGGTCAAATAAGCCCTTATATAGGAGGCTTTGTCCTGCCGTCGCCATTTTGGGAGGTTCCTGGTGGAATTTTTTGATGAATTTTTCTTTTGAGAATCTTATTTATTAAGTCTAGTTAATCATACCAAATTTCAGAAAAAAAATTCAATCGGGATAGCATTCAAATGAATTCTTGAAGATAACTGCGCAGTTATCTTCAAGAATTCATTTTCACCTAATATCATATGCCCAAAATGTTATTTTCATAGAATTTGTCATATTTATAAATTAACTAAAATAATTATTGTAAAATTGTCGCATTCCATCTAGCACAAAAAATGGCATGTGATAGAAGAACAAGCCCGGTTCCAGGCTTTTATTTTTTCGTTTTTCCAATTTTTTTATTTTTCTGGGTTGAGCTGGGTGTTCTGGGCCATTTGGGGTGGTTGGGGGGGAGTGAGGGGGGGGTTGGGGATCAATTAGAAAAGTAAAAAAAAAAAAAATAGGATGTGGCCCGAGGAACAGCCCGGACCCGCCGGCCACCCTGGCCGGTTCCGGTTCACCCATTGTCAAATAAAAGCCCGGCCGGGCCTAGGTCCGAACTGGAATCGGCCTGGCCCGGGTCCACCCATACTCCCTAATGTCACACCCATTCGCCGTTGTCACTACTTTATTCCTTAGAATGTAGCAAAGTAAATGTTGTATTACCATTTTGGAAAAGATAAATACTCTAAAAGCGTCTACATACACTTCAATAAAGTATACATTAATGCTACTGTATCAACATTTCTTACTTTTGTAAATTATACAACATATCTATAACATTATACTACATCCGTTCTTAAATAAATGCAACAGTCAACATTTCACATTTGTCGAGGCACAACTTTGACCATTAATATATATAACTCTCTATTAGTAAAAAAAATTTAAAAAATCAGATTTTGAAAATTTAAAATGAGACAAATTTAGTAATATTTTTTTCAAAAATATATAGTAATACATCAATAAATAAAATGTAGTCAAAGTAGAACATGTGAATAGTGTAAAATTTGCAATGTTACACTTACTCCGTATTTAAGAACGGAGGTAGTACTAAACTATGAAAAATCTATCGGCATTTGTGACTATTGAAATGATACAAATGGAGTACGTTGCTTGGATTTAGGCAGAAAAACGCAAGAGAAAATGAAAAAAATCTTTGTCAGAAAATAACCAGATCTAAGGTTTTTTATTATAAACAAAATTACAAGAAATTGAGGGTCTTACACTGCAGACTCAAAGCAAGGATGTCAGACAGTGTAAGAAAATGATCTTGGGCTCTATAGTGACTTTGGTAAATCCAACCAGAAAATTTATTCTTCGCGTACTTATTTTGATACTACGTAACTATAAATTTTAATACGTGAAATCAAAACTTACGTGTTTAGTAAAAAAGTTAGTCTGTGAGATTGATAAGCTGAAAATCATGATCACCAAGTGGGCTCTAAATAAAATGAAATAAATTGGGAATTTCTTGTGACTACTTGTTAGGATTTTTTACAAAAATATTACTAAAATATTATTTATTTACACAAATATGACTATTAGTTACTACTCTCTACGTCCCTTATAACTTTGTGAACTTTCCTTTTTTGGATGTCTCATTAACTTTGTCACTTTTCCATTTAAGTAAAGAATTTGTGGTTCCAGTTAATTCTCTCTCATCTGCACAAACCTCAACCACACAGTTTTTACTTTATTAATCCTTGTGCCGGTCAAACTAGGCAATGTTATTAGGGACGGAGAGAGTACAATGTGGGGTCATAGTCACTTAAGTTTAAAAATTGAACATAAGTTACTATAATTTCATTACTACGCTAGTCATTAATCACATTTTTGTAAATAGTCTTCATTTTAGTCGTATATATGTAATTATTTCTATTTGTTATACCATTCGAGCTCTCTCATTTTGTCTTTCTTCTTCTTCCCTAACCAAAACCTATTATGTGGTCAACTGACATTGACATTCTGGATTGAGGAGGACAGTTCATCATAATGTATTCTACAACTATAAAAAAGGGTTTGATTGATTAGTTTTTGTTGGGATATTAGGCGCGGCCCAGTACTGGCCCAAACCACATGCGGGCTGATAGAGTATATGGGCCTGGACCCCATGGCCCACATACTCAAAGGCCAACAACGCCAGCAGGACAGCCACGCGGCACGCTACGGCCCGGAGAGACCCGCAACGGCCAGAAACCAAAGCACCGTTTGGGCTTTGGGGGGCGCATTGGCCCATGGACCGCATCGGCCATGGGGCCGCATCGGCCAGAAGGTACCGCCTCGGCTAGGCTCCGGCCTGGCAGAATGTGTTTTCTCATCATAATTATTAAGTATTGTACTCAACCCATTAGTGGCCCTATTTCGCTCAAAGAAGGCATGATTATTGTAATGGGCCTCCTAAGCCCAAGGCTAGGGGCCCAAATCCACATTTTTACCTATAAATAGACCCCAAGGGGCTAGTTATAGGGGGTTGAGAAATATTTATTACTCACTTTCTCTCTCTAGCTCTCACTTCTCTCTAGAATTAAATACTCTATCACGGGCCATCTGCAAATGTAGCCAGTGCGGGATGGCCATCCGGAGTTCTCTGCCCGGGTAATGTCATATGGCACAATCTCCCCACTTGGGCTTCCCCCTTAACCGCGCAGCTGCTCATTGTAGAACGTCCCAAGGCAGCTGGCGGTAAACATCAAAATTGACGAGGAACGCATTTAATGTATCAAATATGTAAGATTTTATGGTTGGAAGTTCATCCACTCAAGGCCATCCATGTCACCCCTCCACATACTCATTTGTAGCATAAATAGCAGCATATACTTGATTGTAAAGGGTTAGCAACTTTGTACTCTCAAGCATTAATCTTCTCTGTAGCTTTCTCAGTAGCATTCATCTTAGTCTAGAGGGTCGGAGCATCATTCGGCATAAACTAGTATTGTAATCATTCTATAGAGTTAGATACAATTGGATCCACCTTGCTATCAATTATTCATCTTACCATTGTTGCTTATTGCACTTGAGCCTATAAACGAACTATCAACAAGTAATTCCAATGAAAGCCCAAGGGAAAGTGTTGGACCTTTGGACCTAGAGGAATAAAACTTTTAGCAAACACGTAACATTTAAATTCACGCACTGAATTGTGCAATAATAAGAAAAAGTAAGGTTAGAGTTACTTTTCTAGGTGTATTGGCTGAAGTTAGTGTAAGTGATCATTTTAGCCGTTTTAATATAATATTTTCTTTATTTTATTCATAAAATATATTTTAATTTTTTCCCCATAAATCAGCGGAATCAGCCAATCCAGCCACTTTATCCAGAACTTCATAAATTTCAGCAGAATCAGCTAATAAAGTCGATTTGGATATTACCAGCTCTATATGTTTAAAAAAAGGAATTTGATTGAACATGTTATTTCAAAAAATGTTAAAAAGAGACCGTACATTCAAGTCAGAGATTATTTTTATTCAAAATGTTTGTTGGGTTAATGGGCCCAACGGCGGATCGGCCCATCACCCCTTAGCAGATAAAGTACGGTGGTTGGGAAGCTAGTCATGTACAATCCTCCACATCAGAAACATTACCTACCCCTTGGTAGTATAAATAGTACTCTCTCTGTCCCGCTAAGTTTGTCTCATTTTACTTTTTCGGGAAATCCCACTAAGATTATTTCATACCAAATTTGGTAAAGTTTTTGTGACTTTAAATCATTCTTACTTTATTCTTACTTTATCCATTAAATATCAACCACACAAACTCACTTTTCTTAATAATCGTGCCACCTTCTTTTGTCTCAATCTTAGTGGGACGGAGGTAGTAACATTTATTTCATTGTGAAGGGTTGACAACTTATTCCCCCTAGCAAATAACAAAAAACTTAGCTCTTAGCATTGAGATAGACGAACGGTCCCTCGGCTAGTAGTTGAAGTGTGTTGTATATGGACCCTTATTATCGTTTAATAAGATACGGTCCACTTACTACTCTTGTTATCGACACATCTTACTTGCTTGCGTCATATATCCATTAAACTCTCCATTTGAAATCCAAGGGAAATGTGTTGGGCATTTGGGTTGAATGAATAAACCTCAACAATGCCTATGCACCATATACATCCATTTGACCAAGTTTAACTAACAAGTGACATAAGAGAACTACTATGTACTATATACATCCCGAATTATTACGTGTCTGTATACTGGACATTTGTGAACAAAAGAGAAATGTAATGATAACAATAAACTAGCCACTTTAGAAAGAAAATGACGAATTGTCGGACAGGGATCTAGTTGATGAGCTTTTTGAGATTCGTGATAAAACCTTATCTTGGGGCTGCCTTTGAGCTTAAGGGAGGTGCAATGGTCATTTTTCTGTTAGAACCTGTTACCGTGTTATTGTTGGGGAGTGTCAGGCAGGCCAAGTAGCTTTGTGGGCCCGAATGTGGCAGTTCAATATTCCACCGAAAGTGAAGGCATTTTTTGGCAGGCATGTGCAGGTTTCCTCCCGATCGCAGATAAACTCTTAGTAAAGATGGTTAATTGACAAGTTGTATGTCTGCTTTGCTCACGTGAGAATGAAACCACATTGCATATGTTTGGGTTATGTCAGAGGGCTACTCAGATATTAGATTTAGTACGATGGAATATCCAAGTTCATGCAGGTACGTATTACCTTTAAGTAGTGAGTATAAAGTTTCTTTCATACCAGGGATGAAGAAAGTTGTTGCTTGTTTGTCATGATCATTTGGAGTTTCTCGCGAGCTAGGAATATGAAGGTTTGGAAGCAAAAGGAGTTGTGGCATAAGCCAAGACTTTTCTGGATGGTTGGCATAGAGCTTTAGAGGGAGGTACTTGTGGTTTGGGGTGGGTTGTCAGAGACAATGGGGGTGTGTTCATTGCAAGTGGAGTTGATACATGGCATGGTCCTTCTCCGAAAGTTGTTGAGACCTTAGCTATTAGGGAGACACTAAGTGGCTGAAACAATTTGGTTGAGACTATATCGATGTAGAATCTGACGCGCTTCAGGTTATCTCAAGCATTAATTCTGGTTCTGATGACTTGCTCTCGAGGGTGATCATAGATGATATAAGAGATATTTCAACTAGTTTCACTACTACTCCCTCTGTCCCTAAAAGAAGTTCCATTTCGCTTATCGAGGCTCAACTTGAATCACTCTTAAACTCTTACTTTTTATATCAAAATTTTATAAAAGTTGAATTGTTTTTTGCAGGCTTTGTAGCGGGTTTAATGTAGTTTCTGAATATGTAAATTTTATTTACTAAAAATAATCCGAGTTTTCACAGGGATCATTTAACTTTATCGTCAGTCAACCTTCGTAATCCACAATTGGAACAACATTTAGGGACGGAGGGAGTATTTATTTTGCTCATGTGAAACGATCTGTGAATCGGATAACTCTTGATCTTGCAAAAGCTGATGTTTCTATATGTCTGATCGCTATGTTTGATTTGGAGTATTTTTACTTCCATAGATAATGACAATGGGGGTGTGTTCATTGCAAAAGCTGATGTTTCTATATGTCTGATCGCTATGTTTCTATATTTAACTTTCCACTTGCTTAATAATGATGAACTAGCTTTGCTTCAAAAAATAAAAGGAAAATTTTGTTACGGTGGAAAGGAGGAAACGCTTTTAATTGTTTACCAAGATGACGTTTGCATGTTCGTTTTGGTAGTCTTGAAACAATATACAAACAAGAATTTGAAATTTGGTCCAGCTGGATGGAAGGATGGATTACTACTTCTTCCTTTCTTTCTTCCTTTCTCAAACTAACTATAATCCCTAACAACCCAATTCGACAACTATGATTACAAGCCTGCCTGCACATATAAAGAGTGCTGAAAGCAAAGAATAAACAAAACAAAAATAGTTTCAATAAAGAGAGAAATGGTTTGAAATGGAAAATTACATTACATTACATTAAAGTCATCTCTCAAATGAGACCTACCGCACCAACCAGGGCCAGGGACCCATCCCTAGGTAAAGAAAAATGTACACTAAACTAAACTCCTCTAATAAAACAAACAAAGTTTCTTTTCCCTTTCTTTCTCCCTAACTCTTCCTACGCCTAATTACTACCCACTCACCTAATTACCTAAAGCTTTGATTTGATTTTTAAACCATATAGGAGGAATTTCAAAAACTCTGGACGGCCGCGGTTTCCGATTCCTTCTTCCGCCGCATCTCCAGCACTTTCCGGTGGTTGTTCGAGTGCAGCTGGCTTGAGAACGTGGGACTGCACGCCGGCCGGTACTCCGGCAGAAGGCGCCCGGACTTGTACCTCACGCCACACGCGTTGCACAGAGTCTTCGCTCCCTGCGGCCCCGCCCGCCACTGCGGCGTCTTCTGCACGCCGCAATGGTTGCACCGCCTGGACTGCGGCTGCAGGTGATGAGCCTCTCCGCCGCCGCCGGGCTGCGCCGCCCTCTTCCTCTGTTTCTTCGCAGGCGGCATCCCCCCTACAAGCCACTCGGCGGTCTGGCCCGGATTCGGGTATGCATAATAAGAGCGCGGCGGCGAAGATGAGACGGTGGTGGAAGACGAGGAGGTGGAAGACTCGGTTAGCGACTGCGAGCCGCTCAGCCAGACGCGGACGCCGGTCCGGGCACGTTTGCTTCTGGCCTTGGTCTGAACCGGAGTCTTAAGGCTGGGCTTCTCTCGAACCGGAAGGTCAGTCTGCTTCCCGGGTGGGTGAGTCAGCGAGTAGCCAGGGAACGAGTCTTCCGCAAAATGAGACAACCATTCCAGATTATCCAAATTATCCGCCTGAAAAACCACCGCCCCTTTCTGTTAAAATTTATTATTACTACTCTAATAGTAACTAAACGCCAGTTTCCGAATTCGGAGCTAAATTTACTAACTTACCGGAGTTTGTTGCTCGCCGCCGGGAAGACAAGGAAAATCTTCAATGGGAGAAAAGGTAGTAACAGCAGCTTTAGCTTCTTCTTCTTCTTCTTCAATTTCGGGCTTAACAAGTGGAGCTGGCTGAATTTCAGGCTCCATTTTCACCCTCTCTTCGTATTCCTCAGGAAATCCATTAGACAAGTCAAGGAGGTCGTCGACGAAGAAATCGTCGCCTGAAACGACTCCGCCGCCGCCGCCGCCGCCAACTGAGAATTCGCTATCCAGGTTGTTTGTCGTCTTTGGGGCAGACTCCGTCCGGATACAGCTCTTGAACGCGCACTCCATGGCCTGCCCAACATTGCCAAAACAAAGTGAAATTAAAGCGTTAAATGATAAAGCGAAAGAGAAGGGATAAGGTGGGTGTGCCTTGAGAGAGGAGAGAGGAAAAGGGGGGGGGAAACAATTGCGTTCGGTAAAGCATTGAATTGAATGGGAGAGAGAGAAGAGGGCAGAGGAAAGGGAAGACTCCCGTGCCCAAATGCTGTACTTTCTGTGCCGTATTAAAACAAGTGCCCGCCCGGTTTTTCTTTTCCTTGTCATTCCCTTCTTTCTTTTCAATTCTTTTCTTTTTTTGAAATCTTTTGAATACAAATTCACCTCTTCCCGTTTTTCTCTAAAAATTGAATCGTACTGAACCGAATGTAGGGAAAATCAAATAAAACAGAACTAGACTAAAAAAATCAATAAATATTGGGAAAACTGTCAAATTGACCCTCATAGTATACTAAAATAGACAATTAAACCCTCCAACAAAAGAAACACTCAATTATGACCCTCAACTTTACAAAAACGTTCAAATCTTTAATTTAACAGGTAAACCCCATGTTAATCGGTCATTGTGCTTACATGGCAGACTATGTGACATTTTTTTCTTTGTTTCATTTTTTTCCCGCTCCGTCTTCTTCCTTGGTTCTCTACCAAGCTTGGAACTTTATTCTTTTTCTTTCTTTCTTATTTACTTCCCGATTCAATAGCTCCAATCCATTGAGAATGAATGATTTGGATTCGTTTCAAGACAACAATTGGGACTTTCGAAATTTTGATTGCTTCATAGATCTAACCATAGATACATAAGTCTCTTCCAGAGGCGCGAACTGCGTACCGATCGTTCCGTACCCAATCGCGGTACGAAAACGATCTGGTCGCTATGTGGTACGCTCGTCTCATCGTCGATCCCAATCGATCTTCAAATCAATCCCAATCGTTGTACAACGTACCGAACATATGATACATCGTATTGAACGCATACCGAAATGAACCTACCCCTCCGAATCGGATACGCTAGATCTAGCGAAACGCGTTCCCGTTCCTCGTTCCCGTATCAAACCGTACTGCGAATCATGTGACTATGGATCTAACCATAATTAGGATCTCATGGATCTGACAAAGCACAAAACCATTGGGACGAGGAGAAGCTCAAAAGACATCATTGACGGTTGCCGGTGACTTGTTCGGAACTGAGAAGACGATGTGACTCCTTGTTATTATCGTTGCCTCTGCCCTTTCCCTAGTTGGCGTTGCTTGGATTGTAGACTCGAAGGAGAAGAAAGCTGCAATATACTCCCTCCGTCCCCTTTTAAATGTCTCGTTTTACCATATTGGGATGTCCCTATTTAATTGTCCCATACCTTATTTGGTAAAGTTTGTGTGGCTCAAAATTATTCTTACTTTATTCTTACTTTACCAATTAATATCAACCACACAAACCCACTTTTCTTAAAACTCGTGTCACCCTCTTCCGGGACATTTAAAAGGGGACGGAGGGAGTAGTCAGAAGCTTCTCCAGTCGGCGCCTTTCCATTTCAGACTGACTGGGTCAAGCAAAAGTTCCTCAATTTAGAAGCTTCTTCGGCGTCCTACACGATGTCGTGATGGGTGGTGTTCTTTTGTTGAGCTTGTTTGGAAGGAAATGTGCAAGCAATGAAATCTTTGTTTGGAGTTGAAATATGCAGGCAGAAGCTTATTTAGAAGGAAATCTCCATTATGAACTAAATGGATTCAAGCTTGTATGGAAGGAAATGTGCAAACAGAAGACAGCTAAGGATAAGGAAATACGCAGGGGGGAAATAAAAGGATGATGAAGAAGGTAGCCCGTAGCAGGGCCGAAGGGAAACAATGAAAAAGAAAAGAAAAATGCCACCTGGATCACCACGTTAGAAGAATAACCGATTAACCGGCAATAACGGGTTAAATTAAAGATTTGAGCATTTTTCTAAAGTTGAAGGTCATAATTGATCGTTTATTTAGTTCAGGGGCTTAATTGATTATTTTGATATAGTATGAGGGTATATTTGATAGTTTATGGAACATTCATATGTTATTAAAAAAAATACTCCATTCGTCCTTTAAAATTATTCTCGTTAGGACTTGGATCGAAATTTAAGAAAGTGGAAATAAAGTGGAAATAAAGTGAAAATGAATGGTTTTGATTGAGTAAGAAAAAGATAAATGAATCATAGTCACACAAATCTTTCTAAAAAGAAATGGGAAGAATTTTTAGAGACATCCCAAAAAGGCAAGTGGGGAGAATTTTATGGGACGAATGGAGTAACAATTTCAAACCAAACTGAACCGAACTAGACTGAAAATTAGCATGGTTTTTGTTTGGTAATAATTCTTCCTACCCATTCCAAATCGAACCCCAACCGAAACCGATAAAAACCCGACCAAAAATTGATATGTCCACCCCTACTCGTATTATTACACGAGTTTCGTCGTATTTGGGATGTGAAGAATTCAAATAAAAATACAAATAGCTAATTTGGGATGCTCTTAACCGATTCACATAGGCAGAAATCCAAATCAGATTAGATCGATATAAAGTTTTTTTATAAAAAAAAAATTAACATGATTGTTAACACTAATATTAAACTTCTTTTTGAATTTGAGACAGATCGAGGCACAAAGGTCACCCGAGCTTTGTTAAAATACACGCCGGTCTTGTTCAGCTCATTCAGTCCACCCTCAAGCAGATCCTCGGGTTGCTCCCATGCAGCAAAATCCTGGTTAACTTTAAGGCCGAGTGAGCACCATAGGGAGGATGGTGTTTGGCCAAACAGAACCCTAGATTTGGCTCGGGGGCCCAACCCGGAGAATTTGATGATGACCAGGGAGGGACCCCCCATTCCACTCGGGAGCAGAATATGTGCGGACCTTGGTCATGGAGGAGGGTACTAGGGGGCTCGTCGTCAGAAAGGTCCACCAGATCGAAGAATGAGAAGCTGAGTCGAGTTTCAGTTTCTTCCGCATCGGGCCTACGTCATAGGGGGTCCGAGCGCGGGGCTGCTGCATAAAACGCCCGTCTTTAACCACTATATTTCCCTTTCCCTTGTCTACTTGCTCGAGAGCAAGGGGGATCCTATTGCAACGGCCCGTCGCGGGAGGAGCGGTATAAACACCTACAAAAGGGAAGGAGAACAATTTAGCAAATGATGGTAAGATATATATATATATATATATATATATATATATATATATATATATATATATATATATATATATATATATATATATATATATATATAGAGAGAGAGAGAGAGAGAGAGGAATGATCCTGTCCAGCAGCCCTCGGTCCGAACAGTGTCCGAACATGGCCATTTGGGGCACTTCCCGGTGCGATTTTTTGATGAAATGTTTTGAGCATGTTCTTCATCAAGTCTAGTTTGTTCATACCAAATTTCAGCTCAAAATTCATTCGGGAAGGCATTCAAATCATTTTTTGAAGTTGACTGCATTTTTATATGTATATTTTGACGCAGTCAACTTTAAAAAATGATTTGAATGCCTTCCCGAACGAATTTTGAGCTGAAATTTGGTATGGACAAACTAGACTTGATGAGGAACATGCTCAAAATATTTCATCAAAAAATTCCACCGGGAAGTGCCCCAAATGGCCATGTTCGGACACTGTTCGGACCGGGGGCTGCTGGACAGGATCATTTCTCTCTCTCTATATATATAAGACAAATCACGGGCTGTAACACCCCGGCCCCACCGGACCCGAGGTAGTTACTCCGGACCAATAGTACTGTCCCCACAAACCACCACGAGCCTTTACCGCGCACTTTGTCCTCACTCGTGCGCGCCCTGAGAAACTTCCCAGGGGGTCACCCATCCCAAGACTACTCCCGTGCAAGCACGCTTAACTTTGGAGTTCTTGGGTGATGAGCTCCCTTAAAAGGAGATGCACCTCTGTTGGTATGAGTAGTACTATTAATCCGTTTATATTAAATCTCAAGTGTTACAATCACCCCCATTTAGGATCGCAACGTCCTCGTTGCGCCCTTGAACAATTCTCAAATTTCAATCAAATCCCAGAATCTTCCCCCGCTAAGTGCCCGCCCGATATCCAACGGGTCATCACACTGTCGCGGGGTTGCTCTGATACCACCTGTAACACCCCGGCCCCACCGGACCCGAGGTAGTTACTCCGGACCAATAGTACTGTCCCCACAAACCACCACGAGCCTTTACCGCGCACTTTGTCCTCACTCGTGCGCGCCCTGAGAAACTTCCCAGGGGGTCACCCATCCCAAGACTACTCCCGTGCAAGCACGCTTAACTTTGGAGTTCTTGGGTGATGAGCTCCCTTAAAAGGAGATTCTCGATTCCTATCTCAATTCTGGAAAGAATTACAAGCCGCCATTGGAACAAAACTGAAGTTGAGCACTGCGTTTCATCCAACAACCGACGGTCAAACAGAAAGAACAATCCAGACGCTGGAGGACATGCTAAGGGCATGTGTACTAGACCTAAAAGGGTCATGGGACGAACACTTAGACTTGATAGAGTTTTCGTACAATAATAGCTACCACGCTAGTATCAAAATGGCCCCATACGAAGCTCTATACGGTCAAAAGTGTAGAAGTCCACTATGCTGGAACGATATGACAGACCGGGTAGTGTTAGGGCCAGAATACCTCCAAGACACCATAGAGAAGATCCGGTTAATCCAGGCCTGTATGAAAGCTTCACAAGATCGCCAGAAGTCTTACGCAGATTTGGGGAGGAAGCCAGCTGAATTCGAAGTAGGAGAGAAAGTTCTACTCAAAGTCTCTCCAACGAAGGGAGTAATGAGATTCGGGAAAAAGGGAAAGCTAAGCCCGAGGTTCATTGGCCCATATGAAATCCTCGATCGAGTGGGACGATTGGCATACCGTTTAGCCCTACCCATGGAGTTGGCTAAGGTAAGACACACCTTAAACCTCTTGATGGTAAGTATCGTAGTATAATAGTAAATACCTCTCAAATACTAACGTGTAATATACTTAGGTACACAACGTTTTCCATATTTCACAGTTGAAGAAGTATGTTCACGACGAATCACATATCCTTAACCCCGAGGTACAAATTGTAACCTTAAGATATTTGAAATAAAAATTTGACACGTCTAACTTCAACTCAATTAGGTGGTCGAGTTGGACGAAACATTGACTTATGAGGAAAGGCCTATCCAGATACTTGACACCAAAACCCGTGAGACTAGGAAGAAGACTATTAAGATGGTTAAAGTATTGTGGTCTAATCATTTGGCCGAAAACGCCACTTGGGAGACCGAAGATGACATGCAAAAATGATATCCGGAGCTATTTGACTAAGGTAATGTTTTGGTTACGGGGACGTAACCTTATTCTTAG